GAACATAATCTGCCTTTGGAATTTTAACCATTAAATTACCGAATCATTGAAAAACTAATAAGTAGTGGATTGTAGTAAATTTGAGCTCTAAATGGAAAAGACTGAATTTAGTAATTTTATTTTATAATATTTATTTCAGTGTTTTACATTTTGGTAAACATGTGAGATCATAGGAAGTCCTATTAGATAGCCAATCTCTGTCTCTAGAGGGCACCAAAGGACTCAAATGTTTACCTGAATCTTGCTCTAGGTATGTATTTACATTTTTATTTTATTTTATTTTTTAATCCTGAAAATTTTTATAGCCATCGTTCTGCCAAAGAATGCTAAAGTGTTATAAGAGATTTGTGATAGAATTAATTTTAAATTCCCAAGTACCTAATAATTCAAAGTGCCCTTTTAAAAATTGGTTATATAACTTCTATTCTCTTGCCAGGTATCCTTGTTAAAGCTTAACTTTGATCATTATCTAATCTAATTATCAGAAGTACTGCTTTGATAAGAAGTACTTGGTTCTAAATAATTTGGTTACTGAGAAAATTGAGTCAACAGTGGAACATGTTCTTAAAAGCCACGTAAAGTGAATTACCAATTTTGCTTTTATTTCAGATTATAGGAAATAAAATATAAAGTTGCCCAATTGTAAGATAAATGTGAGCTATGCATTTCTTAAATGGTGCATGGTGTAACTTGAGTGTTTCTTAATCCAGTATATAACTTAAAAATCTAGTAGATATATTTCCTGCAGTCTAAGATGGTGTGTAAATTTGTAGTGACACTGAACGTTGCTTACCGTAGATTATAAGTATAAAATTAAAGTAAAGAAGCACTTAAATTATTAATCAAATTAGAATTTTGTTTTAAACTTCTGATTTGTTGGCCTCTTAGTACTAAATTTAGAGAGAGATGTCAGGGTAGAGGCCACTTGGCAGGGCCACCCTTTATTGGCTACAGTATTTTGGTCAGGTTAGTATGTCACTGTTACAACCTGGATTCAGGAGTCTAAGGCCTGGTTTTGAATTCTAGAGCCACCACTTTACTGGCGTTAATATGTGAGTTTTTTTTTTTTTTCTGTCCTTTCTAAGCCTCACTTTCCTCAACTATAAATTGATATTAATACTACCCCCAACTTCATAGAGTCATTTTGATGATTAAATGAGATGTTTATAAAACATGTGCTTCAGTACCTGACACACAGAAAGTACTCAAAAACTACTAGCTATTATTATTACAGGGTCTGTTTCTTAAAAATAAATGTATGCAGAGACTTTATAATATCGGTGTGTTCAAAGGAGGGTACAGTGTTCGGGGGCAAATAGGTTTCACTGGTATTCAAATTATACCTCTGCTGTAAGATTTTAAGATTGTTTCTAAAGTCCTCTACAATTTCATTTCTATTTTAGTAGATTGGATTATGTGATTAATTGAATCAGAGACAGCTTTTAATATATGGAGCCAATAAATCATTGTATTTCTTTTGAAATCTGAAAACTGGGTTATAGAAGTGGCTGAATAAGTTTTAAGGTAAAGTTTGTAGAAATTTTTTGCTCTAGCAAAAATTTAATTACTGTCTAGCATGTGACCATGCATGAATGTAATGGATCCTTAATAAATATTTATTGATAGTGATGATAATATACAAACGATTGCTTTATAAAAATTCTAAAGTTAGGCTATGGTTTTTAAATTTTACTTTGAATACTGTATATTTCTAAGAGGTACTTAGAGCTTGTTTCTTTTTCTGAAGAAAATCAGCCACAGGAGAATATCCAATAGCCATTCTAGACAAGTATTTTTCCAATTTTGATGACGACAAAAGCAGATCTTTGTGTCTTTGGGGTCATGAGCCTGATAATCACAAAGCTTCAAAGTAAATTAGTAAATCCATCCTCATAATTTTCTAATGAACTTTATTTTCACAGTACAATAAAAGAAAGTATCTTGCAAAGTGTCATTATCTTTATATTTGATATATATGTTTCTAGGAAGCCAGAATATCTTGAAAAAATGTAAATACGTTATTATAAAGTATATCATAGGAATTTTTCATAGAGTATATAGATTATAATTTTCTTTGTATATTCTTTTAAGATTCTAAGTTGATGGAAGTTTTCCCCTCTTTCTTATTCTTCTGGTAATCCTATATAGGTTCATGAAGGATTCCTGGACAGTAATGTATTTGTTTCAAACAGTACCAATTCATCAAATCCATGTGACAGAAGAAGTGTTGACCTAAGGATATACATGCTTTGCTTTCTCCCATTTATAATTCTTTTGGTCTTCATTCGTGAGCTAAAGAATCTGTTTGTACTTTCATTCCTTGCCAACGTTTCCATGGCTGTCAGTCTTGTAATAATTTACCAATATGTTGTTAGGGTAAGTATAACATGTTTTTAGTTAAGTGTCACATATTTCTTATATAAGAAAAATTTTTGTTTACTTTTGAGGTAAAACTAATGATATATAAACATCCCCTAATTCATATATGGCACACTGTAGACAATCAGTGAATGGTTTTCTTTTGAGGGATACAGTTTAATTAGAAAAGTATATGACATAGAGATTGAAAGACCAGGCCTTGTGCTCATATCTCGTTCTGAATCTTGGTAAATATGCTTCTGGGACTTTGTGACAGTACTTCAGAAGACAGTTAATACCTACCCTGTGAGAATTACTGTGAGATTTAGGATTGTGCTGTTAGTACAATGCCTAATATGAAACAAAGAACTCAGTAAATATATTGTTTATTTCTTTAAAGTTTGAACCGATCACAAGAGATGGGTATATAGACTGTAATCTTCTTTCACCTAGGAACCTTTATTTGCTGCCGCCACTTCAGTCCATTGCCACTGCATTAGTCTGTAACCCCTTTATCTGAAGCACATCCTATAACCTCAATTGATTACATTATCCATAGTTTGGAGATTCTTAACCTAATTCCTTAATAAGAATCTGTTGATGGGCTTCAGGAGATCTACAAATCCCTTAAAATTGTTCATAAGATTTATTGTTTCTGTGTGCATATATGTGTTTTTCCGCTGAGCAGGTGTATAGCTTTCATTTCTCAAAGGGGCCAGGGACCCCCAAAAGTTTGAGAATCCCTTTTCTGTTCTCTCCTGATGTATTCCACCTTATGTATTACTTCCAAGGCAATTATTGTAAAATATCCATTAGTAATTCATTACAAACTCTCATGATGGGTCTGTGTTTCATGTTTTCCTCTCTCTGAATTCTAAGACCTGTAGCGTCTCTCATAGCACATAAGAGTGGAAGGGGATAGCCAGGAAGATCACATAAGGCTTTATGGAGTTCATGACCCCTTAGCTGAACATTGAAGAGTTAGTAGAGTAGAAAAGGAGGTTCCCTGGGTAGAGGGAACAGCATCAGCTAATACATGAAGTGAAATAGCATCCTGCTTACTTTGAATAACAGTTTAGTATTAGTGGAAGATTCAAACTTTTTAATACCCTTTTCATTCTGAATCTAACTTATGCTTTTAGTCACGTATCATCATTATATCATACAATTCTATCTATGCTTCAGATGTTCTAGATCTCTCTATTTCACAAATTATCCATGGGCTTCCATACTTCAGTTGCTTTGTCCATCCTCTTCTTTTAAAAAATTCTGCTTCCAATCAGGTAAGGCAGAGAATGCGGGATGGCGAGGAGAGTAGGAGCCAGACTTGGGGTATATGGAAGAAGTGGCCGTTGCGGAGCCAGAGATCTTGAACAAGATGTGCAGTGTGTGATATTGTCCAGTTAGTGAGAATAGGAACAAGGCTAAGAGGCAGGACCAAATAATCAAAGCCAAAAAGTCTGGGCCCCTATATACAAATAAGTGTAATGACAACCATCAGGGCAGAGTAAACACTGAAACCAGAAGGAGACTGCCTTAGGGAGCAGCAGAGTTTTGAGGTAGAAAGCCAAAGTCAGGAACCAGGTATCTTAGAGAACCGAAAGAGTAATGGAAATAGAGTGGAGAATGAATTTCTGTTAGGCACCAGCAGTGGTAGTTGATGACTGACTGTATGTCTCTCAGCTCAGACCCTGAGTATGCTTATATATTCCCTGTTGTGACAGGAGCCATACCCAGTGTGCACAGCCTGGGACTTGCAGGTGGAAACAGGTAATCAGGAATATTTCCCTCAGGAATGTGTGGGCATGAGGGAAACAATCGCTTTGGCAGTGCAATCCTAACAGTTTGGCTACGTTTAACATAGGATGCTTAGTGTTTATTGAAAGAATTATTCACTTTTATAACCCACATTTGCTGCTGTGAAACTCAGAAGTATGTAATTTTGCTCTTTCATTTGATATTCTTTCAAATAAGTGAAGATGTAATCTGTCTTATTTTTTTCTTTCTTTCTCTAGAATATGCCAGATCCCCACAACCTTCCAGTAGTTGCTGGTTGGAAGAAATACCCACTTTTTTTTGGTACTGCTGTATTTGCTTTTGAAGGCATAGGAGTGGTAAGAATTAAGTCTTTATTTTTATTTTTTAAACTTGTAAGTCAACACATAGATTTATATAGTGAAGCTATATTTTAAAATGCATGTTTTTCTTTTTTGTTTCAGTTTTCTTTATTCCTGGAACACAATTTCTTTATTTTTTGTTTCAGTTTTCTTTATTCCTGGAACACAAAGTTTGGTATGAAAGACTTGAATTATAGTTTAGTTCTTTCACTAACCAAGAGTTTAATCTTAGAATATCACGTAGGCTGTCTAATTCTCTTATTTTTTCTCTGTAAAATGAGGAAATTAGACTATATCATTTTTGATATTTTATTGTAGAAAATTTCAAATCAGTACAAAATTTAGAGAGTAGTATAATGTAAGCTTCACTCAGCTTCAAAAATAATAGCTCATGGCCAGTTTTGTTTTATCTATATACCGCATATTCAAGCATATCCCAAACATCATATTTTATAGACTAGATTATTTGAAGGGCATTGAAACAGTTACAAAATTAGTGTTATATAGAAAGAGTCAAATATAAATTCTCCCTTTAGATTTGTGCATGTCTTGTTTGTTTTGAGAAACGATGTTATCGTAAAACTAATACCAAGAGATGCAAGCATCCTGAGGATTCTAAGATCTTAAATATTTCCATTCAGGATATTTCCAGTTTATTTAAAGCCTAAATTTGTAGATTTGGGGAAAGTAGAATATTACTGTCTACTCTTTTCTATAACTTGTGTTTCATAGTGTGATGATTTGGTAGGGGAGCAAAACCGCTTGTAAACGTGTATTTATATGATCCAAGACAAAATAAATCTAAAAGACAATTTTATGTCATTTTGCTTGGGTTTTTGCTCTCTCTGAATTCTCTCTTAGAGAATTCTAGTAAATTCTTATAAACTCACAACTCCATTTATCACTGTTGCAAACAAACCTGCAGATATTCATTTCTGTTTTTAACTAGTGAGCTCTTGTTAGTTATTGGACATTTTCAGTTAAGTGTTGTTTCTCTGACATCTCAACTTCAACATCTCTGTGACATATACTTCCACATCCAAAACCAGCTTCATTTTCTCATTTCTTTTTCTTTTAGTTTTACTTTTTGTTGCTTCAGCTTGAGACATTGGATTAATTCTTTTTATTCTGTTGTTGGTTCCCTGTTCCAGTCAGTAAATAAGACACGTTGATTCTTCTTTCATATTTCTCAAATCTGTTTCATAAAGGAGATTATATGTAAAACAGCTATAATGGTGTGTGACACAGAGGAAGCCTCAGGAAACATTAGTTTCCTTCCTGCTCTACTTTTCTATCTGCACTAGGACCATTTTTGACCACAGCCCCATACTTCAGGTTGGCATTATCTCCAGAGCATTCAAATTGCTCTCTGTTCTCTTTTCTACAATTAACAGTTAATATTTGCATAAGGGGCTGACTTACTCACATAAAATGTGGGGGTATTCGAGTTATCCTTCCATGGGGTTATTGTGAGAACTGCCTGCCTGCTGCACACAAAGTTTTTAGAATAATACCTTGCACATTGTAAGCACTCAGCAAATACTTGCTGTTATTATTACTTAGTGTCTTTCACTGTATGGTCAAATCGCATGGTCAAAAACATCTGAGGATTTTCCTAGCTCTGTCTCCTGAGAGACCTGCAAGCAGTGAGACCACAGTAAAAAGAAGCCTACCCAACTCCCAGATCTTGATTTTTAAATACCATTCTCCAGCAAAAGAACCAAAGTTCTTTGGAAAAATTGCTGATTGTAGGGCCGAAGCAAGGAAATTTGAGGTGAGTCTGGAGCATCTTGAAATGCCAGAAAGTAAGGAAGTGCTTAAAAAAAAGAATGGAGGCATGTCAAAGGTTCACAGATGCCAACCTGATAGAATTCATAATGGCCAAAGTTGGAACAGCATGAGTAATAAAATAAATAACAGAGTATTGTGTTATAACTCAATGTATAAAACAAATGTACATGAATTCATGTTAATATAAATAAATGATAAATACATTATAGAGAATTCCAAATAATTTGTGTAGATACTACTCCCTTTAGGAGATGTAGCGAATCCCCCCAGTCCTCAGAGTATGGGCTGGATTTAGAGACTCATTCAATAAACAGAGTATGATGAGGGGGTAAAAAAGTAACTTTACAGCAGAGAAAGCTGGCAAATACTACCTTAACCAAGTGACCAAAATTAACTTCAGCAGTGGTAAATCAGGTTAATAACATGTGTGGTGAGAAGGGCACTTCACCTCTGTGGTATCCTTCTCTAAAACCTATACTCCCAGTCTAGTCATGAGGAAAACATCAGATAAACCTAAAAGAGGGACATTATGCAGACTACTTAAACAGAACTCTTCAAAACTGTCAAGATAATGAACTGTAGGAGGAAAGACTGAGAAACTATCCCAGACCAGAGGAGACTAAGCCATGGTGACAAATGCTATGTGGTATCCGGGATAGGACCCTGGAACAGAAAAAGGACATTAATGGAAAAACCAATGAAACCCAAATGAGTTTGGAGTTTAGTCAATGGTAATGTACCAGTGTTGGTTCTTGGTTGTAACAAATGTACCGTGGTCATGTGAAATGTTGACAGTAGGGGAAAGTTGGTCAGGGGCATATGGGAGCGCTGTCTGTTATCACTGCAACTTTTCTGTAAATCTAAAGTTATTCCAAAATAAAATGTTTTTTTTTTTTTTTTTAATGACAGGTTTGCTTGCCAGGAGTTGATTTTAAATCTTTTTTATTTTAAGAATTTAAAAATGTGTAGTGTGAAAAATATATAGCACATAGAAACATACTTCAACAATCATATGTGCTGTTTTAAAGGAAAAAATTTGCATATAGACTATAAAAAGACCAATATGTATAAGAGAGGCAATGTTGTTTTTGAATTGCATATATCATGTTCCCTTTAAAAAAAGAATTGTATTCTTTTCTTAGGTCCTTCCACTGGAAAACCAAATGAAAGAATCAAAACGCTTTCCCCAAGCATTGAATATTGGCATGGGAATTGTTACAACCTTGTATGTAACATTAGCTACTTTAGGATATATGTGTTTCCGTGATGAAATCAAAGGCAGCATAACTTTAAATCTTCCCCAAGATGTATGGTAGGTGAATATGAGTTTGTTAATCCTAGTTTATGTATTTTATAGATATACTTTACCAATATTTGATGATAGAGGTGTGTTCATAAATTTATGGTTTAAACATTTAAAATTTTTATTGTGATTTCTTTATTTGTATAATCTAGAATTTTTTCATAATCCTCAGAGGAGACCACCTATAAATTTACAGTTCCTTGTTAGATTTTTTTTTTTTAAAAGACTACAAATTGTAGGTTGTTCCAATTTGAATCAGGTATAAGAGTAAAACATGGATTCTTTTAATATGGATTCACTTTAATTTTAAAAAATGCTCAATCAACCCGTATATCATGAAGGGTAGAAGAGGGAAAGTGAGTTGTCAGGTCATATCTGTATTCAACCTTGAGAGAAAGAGAATCAGTCAACAACTTCCTTCCCAAGTTGGCTTTTTAAAAATGTTAAGATATTCATATCTGAATATTTTGGCCAAGTATTGATTTGTTAGCTGGTGGGGAAAAGAGTAAAAGCATTGCAAATTTTGAAATCTTGTGTTTTCAAAGCTCAAGTTTTCACTGGAACAATGAGTTATTTTCCACCGATAATCTGATTTCATATATTGCAAAATAATTATTAAAAAATACATTTCTGCCCTTTACTAAGATATTAAATTTCTTTGCCACCAGTGTAATAAGTTTTGTTTTTAAGCATGAATCATTCTGTTCTTTGAAGTATTATTACTATTTGTCATATTGAATGGATGTAGTTTCTAAGAATTACCTGTCATACCCATTTCTGATCATTAATATTAATTTAATTAATATTTGATAAGTATCAATCATCTACTAAATGCATGGGAGGGATATCCAGGGAAGAATAAATGTAGTCTCTAACTCTCAGGAGCTTTGGCAGTGAAGAGTTTTAAAAGGCTTTTTAATGTGCACTAAACATTCTTTAAATGTTTAGTTTAAACTAACATCTATGTTCTTATATATGCTCAAACACATTCCCATGACTTGAAGAAAGTTTTTTTATTCTTTAGAGAAGGAAAATTTTCTGGGTAAAGTTTTCCTTTCAACTCTCTTAATTTCTAAAACTTTAGTTCATAATGGACGCTTACCACAGATGCTTATTTAAAACCAAAATGAGAACAAAGGTTGATAATGTCCACAGAAAAGTTAAGTAGAGAAAAATAGTTTAGAGTGGTTGAAAAAATAGCTGCCAAATATAGGAATGTGGGGTTTTGAAATGGAAGAGAAGTAAAAGTGAAACAGTTGATTTTAAACTGAAGCACTTTTTTAGACACCCTCTTATTTCTCTATTACTTTTCTTTGGTTGATGATGAGTGGGCACACCAACTTCTAAAAGATCCAAACCATTTTATTTACCGTTTTTATTCTGTGTAACACCAAATAGTAATTGCATATAATTACTATTATTGAATGGTATTAATAATAACCAGATTCTTAAATAACTTCAGTTTTATATCAAAAATTAATTGTGCTTATATGCAAAATGAAGTATTTTTATTTTTAAATATATTGTAACCATATTTTAAAAACATGAAAGTTAAAATATAATTAGAAAAAAAGGAATGTTCTTCTTTTAAACTAATAATAAACAGATTGTTAATTCTTCACAATTATATGTCAGAGTATACAAAACAGGAATCTTTTGGTTATTTTTGCATATTTTTAGTAACTTGATCATTTATGTTTAAAATTTAAGCCTCAAGCTGAGAAATACATCCTTAGTTAATTTTAAAATCAAAGTTTTATTGTTTCTAGCCCTAAGGAGTTTCTTCTTTTCTAATTTTGTTTGTAGTATTTTCAAGTTTCTTTTCATTCAGCTTTTTAATTTCTTCTTACTCACTTCTATGATGAATATGTTATAGCAGGAGATTTATTAAATTCCTTCTTGCTTGGCCATAGTTTAGAGAACTGTTTCTTATCCTTGCTACTTTAGCTCTTAAGACCTAAGAAATCAGCTTAAGCCTAATTAGTGCTGAGGTTTTTCTTTACCAGAAGTAGAATACTTTATATCCTTTTGAAATTATTGAATTTTTCCCTAAAAATAAAACACTCTTCCCCATGCACAGGACTATTAGGTGGGAAAGTAAAATTCTTCAGTGGTAAGATTGTTATCGATGATGTTTCTGTTGAAAAAGAACATATGTGTTAATTACTGGCCCGAAGCTGCATGCAGCACATTCGATCCAGTCTCCTCTCCAGTTTGTTTCTTAAATACAAGAGTGATTGGGTTTTTCTTTTGATTGTTGTAAAATATTAAAATATTTTTTAAAAATACAACACATTAATTTTACTATCTGTAATCCAATGTTCCTCTGTCCTAGGGTTCTACGTTTTCTCTTCATGTCATTATCAACATTTAAAAGTCTTCTTTTGCAAGACAAAGGAAATTTATCAAAGTCTTTATCAAGACGTGTATTCTGAGTTTTGAAAGGATTCTATCTACAATATAGAAATGTAAAAATATTTATAGAACTGTTTGAACATTGCTGTGCTGTTTTGAAGCACTGGGCATCAAAGAGATAAGTTTACTCGGATAACACCACCACTGCCACACAATGCAACAATTTTATTTCCCTTATTAATATGACTTTAACATAGGAAGTACATATAATTTAGAGAACTTTGCAAGTTGAAACCATTTAGATGCCTTCCTTTTGAACTTGAGATTGATGACATATCTGAAAGTGACATACCTACTAAGATTTTCAAGCATGAGGAACTATAATTCAGAATTTATTATGAAGTTTTTCTTCTGTATATAGATCACTTGAGGGTATCACTAAAGATTTCAAAGACATATGGTATGCTCAATTTTTTAAAAGAGAGTTGAGGAAACATTATTTATTATGAAGTTTTTCTTCTGTATATAGATCACTTGAGGGTATGACTAAAGATTTCAAAGACATATGGTATGCTCAATTTTTTAAAAGAGAGTTGAGGAAACATTAGTTTTTCATGGGGCTGAAGTTTCGGAACATTAACCTTCAGAATTTTGGCTTAGCCCTAGAGGAATTTTTTCTAACAATATGACCCAGACCTTTGCATGCCATATTCAAGGCTTCTAGGCTTGTCAGAATGAGTTGTCCATATTATCTAGACAACAATAAGTGAAGATCAGTTGGCTTTAGTTAATAAAATTCTGGCTTGAATTTGTGTTTTGGATTTCTTGTTTATCTTAACATTAAAAATAAAAGGAGGAAAGCTAGATTCATATTAAAAAATAACTACATTTTGAATTTTTTCCAGGTTATATCAATCAGTGAAAATTCTGTATTCCTTTGGCATTTTTGTGACATATTCAATTCAGTTCTATGTTCCAGCAGAGATCATGATCCCTGGGATCACATCAAAATTTCATGCTAAATGGAAGCAAATCTGTGATTTTGGGATAAGGTCCTTCTTGGTTAGTATTACTTGTAAGTATCACAATATATTTATATCATAATAATTCTTTTATTGTTGTATTTCTTAAAATGAAAGCTTACTTAAATTATATTTTTCATTATTTTAAGATCAATGTTACTCACCTAGCTTGGATACTTTTGGTGTTAAAATTCTGTTTTTCTACTACTATGTTAGAAAAATATGAACCAGATCCTATCACACTAAGAAGAACTAACCAAATTATTTTGAAAATGACATTAGTGATGATTAAAATCAGATACATGATGGGCCCCTCACATTGTTGGTACATATTTTCCTTTAGTTCTAGTTTTCCTCGGGTTTCTTTTTTCAGAACTTTTGTATGTTTAACAGTTTAATTTTCCATGACTACCTATAAGAGAGGGGGTTATTTTATTTGTCTTGGTCTGTAATAATTTCACTGGCTTATTTTCTTACTATTTGAAGGAGTGCGTATAATCTCTTATTGAGGTTTCACAGTATAGAATGCCTCTGCAAGGTAGCATTAATAATAGAGACTTACGGAGAGTGAGCTTGAGTTTGGTAAAAGGAAAGAGTGTGAGTTTTGGAGTCTCATAAATCTGGGGATTCAAAGTCAAGCCTACCATTTACTAGCTGGTGTCTTTAGGCAAGTATATACCATCATCAAGTCTCTCTTTCCTCAACTATGAAATGAGATAAGACTTTTTATGGCATTTTTATGGCATTTAAAAATAATATCACCAAGGCAGCTGGAAGTTATTATGATTGTTATTGTAACCATTATTATAGCCACAAATGTAAGGATGACTGCAACACCTGACTAAACTAGGATTGCCTAGAATGATACCAGGGACCAGATTACTTTGGAAATTCTGTGTGTAGGATATTATTAACCATGTTGTCCCATTCAAGGTTAAAGAATGGTAGAGCTAGAAATTCTGGACTACTCCATAAATTGCATTGAGCAGCCTGGGGTGGAGCTTGTGCCTAGATTTAAAGAATTGGGTTTATTACTTTTTTTTTTTTTTCGGAAAGAGAAAAGGAAAGCTGGAAAGAGTAAATAAAACTTATTTTTCTAATTATCATTTAAATGAATTATATCAACTAATAAAAGAAATCATATTGAGAAATGATGTCAGTAAGCCCATACTCTGTCTGACTACTAATGAAACATTCAGTAGGAAAAAGTTATATTAAAACACTTTGGAATATTTTTTACACATGGCTTTTATTGACATTTTGATAATTGGACTAAATAAAAAGACTAATTTCAGTAAAAGTTCTTTTTATTAATAGATGTAGCACAATTCTGTTCTGAAAGTATACCCCCTTTTAAAATCAGTTACTGAATATCAGTTAAAGGAGTTTGAAGGCAATGTTAAAGGGAGGTTGGGGGGCTGGCCCGGTGGCGCACTGCGCTAGTGCGCCACTTGGGAAGCACGGCAGCGCTCCCGCCGAGGGTTCGGATCCCACATACAGACCGGTTCCCGCTCACTGGCTGAGCGAGGCGC